CCCTATTGCAGTCTATCTCCTCTTTTATAGTAGAGGGTCACTACTTTATTTGTAATAACATAAAATAATACATATAGTGGAGAACCCGTGATGGTTTGTCTCTCCCTCGATTCTCGCCAAGATTCTCTCCCTTGGTGCGGTTGTAACGGCTCTTGTCTTGCGAGCTCGGCACTGACTCGGGCTTGGTGCTAGATCGAATCCCCGGTCTTAGTTCGAGCTCGATTCTGCCTTGGAGTATCGATATTCGGGGCCTGTGTCAGTCGTCGTTACCCCGCGTTCCGATCGGGTTCGATAATGATATCGAGTTTTGCGGTTGATTGGTCTTATGGCTCGAAGCTCGACGTCTCTACTTCGGAATTCGTCCGAGCTCGCCATGCGGATACCCTTCGATTGAAACATTATTGTCTCGACCGGTCTTTATGACTGAGAATCGATTTTGACCGTATACAATAGTTCATTTGCTTTTGAAATATTCTATTGTTACTTTCTTGCCACATATAGTACACTGTTGCTGCCAATGTAATACGATAAACGCTAGCTCCTGCACTTCTTCCTTTGCACGTATTGATAGCCTACAGGATTTCATCATTCCATTCCATGCTGGCTCTGTTAATATTCTGCCACATCAATATCTTCTTCCAAATGCCACCAGTTATCTCACATCCAAAGAAGAGATGTTGAGTGGTTTCCTGTTCTTGATTACAAAGGGGGCATAGAAGATCAGTGGTAATACCCCATTGAGCAATTCTGTCTTTTGTAGCCGACCTTCCATATATAGCTAGTCTCAAAATGAACAACCATTTAGGATCTCCTTGGTTGTTGCATATAGTCTTCCTCCATGACACTTTTGATGAATTCCCCTTAGTATTCTGTGGTACACCTCTCTAACTGAGTATTTGTTCAATCGTTGGATATCATTGTGGGTGTAGCCTGCCTCTTCTAGGTAGTGTCTCTCCAGATATTAATGTCATTTGCAATAACTGAATGTGCTGGCTAAGTAGAACAGTAAAAATTTAAGGAACCAGACTATTTTTTCTGGCCAATAATCACAAGATTAACTTTCTTCTTCTCTTTCCTGAACAATCTCCCCTCCCACCCTGCGCAGCTTTTACAAAGAAGGGGAAAAAAAAGAAGAGAGAAATGAGTATAAGCTCAGAACAACAATAAAACCCATTAAATAGTAAGATAAATATGTGTTTTTCAACACTATTACATCTCCAAACAACTCTGGCTAGTAGGGGTGGCAAATGGGCGGGTTGGACTGAATTTGGACGGGTCAAAATGTGTTAGGTCAATAAATGGCTATTGCCCAACCCAGCCCAAAGTTTACTTGGGCTAAGATGGGCTAAACAATGGGTCATAACCCAACCCGTCCAACTTGACCCATGTTTTAGAACTATGCTCATTTTGCATAAACAAAACATTTTACTTTTTATACACCTATGTATAAAAGGTAAATAAATACTATTAGTATTTTGAGAATCAAAATATATTTCCTTAATTAACAAATTAGTATTTAAAATGTGTAAGTTGAAAAATATTTTGTGGGTGGGTGGGTGGTGCAGAAAAACACAAACAAAAAACAGAAAATTGAAAAGGGGGTGCAGGAAAACGAAAAAACAGAAAATTGAAAATACAAAAAAAAAATTGCGAGGGGTTGGGATAGGTGGGTGGTGCAGGAAAACGAAAAAACAGAAAACAAACAATTGAAAATACAAAAAAAAAAAAAAAAAAAAGAAAAAATAATTTTTTTTTGCGGGAGAGTGGGGGTGGGTGGGTGGTAACTAAGTAAATTTCTAGATAAGTTGGGTTGAGATCCCTTTGTTTTGGAATGAGCTTCATGGGTTGTATTTGAACTACTTCATGGGTCAGAATGGGCGACAAAAAATAATGAGTTAACTTGAGCTCAACCTAAATTGACCCATGAGCTAAAACATTGTAGCCCAACCCATTAATCTCTGGGCGGGTTGGACTCAAATTGCCACCCTACTGGCTAGTAAAACCTTATAATTCATGCAAAAGCCTACTTATCAACCAAAAGAAGAAATATATGCAAACTCTTAGATATCGGATCCCTCCTCTGTACTAACTATAACAGCATAACATCAAGTCACAATTTGTCCAGATCATAATCAAGAGGCCCTTATAAAGTTCCCAGCCAGCTATCACAAGCCTAATTGCTTCCTCCAGTTCTTATGAAAGCTCACCGCTTAACTAGGACGTTCATCAAGATTGCACACTGCGATAACATACACTTGAAATACAAACAACACTATCCTTCAACTGGGAGGAATTACATATTCATAGTAGCAGTAGCAAGAGGTAGTGGTGTTCCATGATCAAGTTTTTCCTTACCTAGTTCACGGGAACCAATACTCAGCGTTACTATGAAGGTATACAAACTGGCTATTTGTCATCTTTCAGGATACCAATACACACAAGAGATGTTCATCAAAGATGTTACAGACAACTAATGAACATTTACCTTTCTATTGCTAATGTTGTAGTTTCCCAACATTTCCAGCACATCCCCTCCAATATACAATACAACAAATTTTAACAAGTTCCTATATCTAAAATCAGGTCCTTTGCCTAACCCTCCTTCCATTGGTATCACCACCGTCTGAAAGCTGGGCCCACACACTTTTAGACTTACCACCTCCACTGCTACAATCATCCTCACAACCAGCCACAGTTTTAAGAAGCTCTGACTGAAGAGAGGGGCTATGTTCTTTAAGGTATTCGAACCCATCTGATTGCATGACAGCTGCAAAAAATAACCAAGTAATAGATGAGTGAAAACCTCTGGTGCGAGAGAAGTACAGAACACAACAGATGCAACAACACAACAGATGCAAATTTCAAAATATAACAGTGGTCAAAGCCCGGCAACTTAATGACAGTCTTCAGCTATTAGATAGGAAAGGGAATGTGTAACAGCCGCATTCATAGCAACATTAAATTTAATAGAAATATCTTACTGGATAGCATAGCTTACCGGCTTACCCTCTAAAGAGTTACAGACCTCAAGAAGTTATTTTCACACTTCTCTAGAAATTTCTGATCCTCTTAATCACTTTCAGATGGTTTACCAGAAAACTTATTTGCAAACAAAACTCAAAATCTACTTTACAAGAAGCAGGCTTCATAGTACCCACAAAGAGCACCAGAAATAGCACATGCCGATCTATGCATTGCACCCAACTACACAGCCTCTCAGTTTTTTGGGGGGGAGTGGGGGGGGTGATGGGGTGCATCATTCCTTCCTTTTTTTTTTTGATAAGGTAAATTGTATTAATCAAAAGGGAGAAAATCCAGCATACAAGAAGTATACAAAAAGTAGAGAATTTACATCAGAACATGATTCTCTACAAATGACGCCCAATCTTCTACACAAGTAGGGGCTATATGTGTGCACCAAAAGGCGATCAAAGATAAAAGACTATTCTTAAGATGTGAAAACGTAGACTCAATCCCCTCAAAAACTCTCCTATTTCTATCTCCCCAGACTAACTACATGAGAGCTAATGGGGCGAACTTACACGCCTTTTGCTTGCTTCTTCTACGAAAACCGGCCCAGCTATATAGCATTTCCTTTACAGTGTTTGGCATCACCCATTGAACACCAAAAAGATTCAGGATTGCCCTCCATAAACCCCAGGACACAGGGCAATGCAGCATAAGATGATTAACTTCTTCCCCTGAGCTTTTACACATGTAGCACCAACTAACATGTGTAATTCCTCTCTTTCGCAGATTTTCAGATGTCAAGATCACTCCCCTCGCTGCTAGCCATGCAAAGAAGCACACCTAAATAGTTAACGAAAGGCTATGAAAAAGCCATTTAACATCCGTTCACACTCAAGCCAAAAAAGCTACTTTGCCAAGTACCGTTACTTCTTGCTTTAAAAGTGTATGGTCTTTTGATGGCTAAAGCTGTTTCAATATAAGTTGTTAGTTTCTGTACTCTTTGGATCTTCTTGGTGCCTTTTAATGAATTTAATTTACCTCATAAAAAAAGTTGTTAGCTTCTGATTCTATCTTCTTCTTCCTTTTTTTTTTGTTTTTTTGATAAGGTAAAAAAAAGAAACTGGAAATCGTTTCCGACTCCATCTTTACAAGAGGTTTGACTCCATAGTACACCCATTAGTGGCACCCCAACTGCCAAAGCTGCTTGACGTGTGTATTTCTTGCTATCCGCACTATAAAATCCTTATTAAAAGCTCACCTGAGACATACTCAACATTCAAGCCAAAAGCTGGCTCTGTATGAGCACCACCGCTTACCCAGAGAGAGTTTAGAACCTTGTTGATAGAAAAAATATTTCCCTTTTGATTTACAGCAATTTTTTCGGGGGAGGCAGGGACGAGAGAACAATATACCTGTGCGGACGCATTTTATCTAATCATTTTCATCAGTTTCCGTAAAAAGTAATTCCGGTTGTTAACATTCATTTGTATGAAAGATGGAACTCCAAGACACCAACCAAAACCGCTCATTCACTGTATTGCAGCTAGCTAAATAGGGACAAATTCTTTTTAGCGAGTCTCCAGCAACTATTTACGTGTATTGCAAGCTACTATATAAGATCTAATTCTTTTAGAGAACCATTAACAGCCATTTACAATCATATTGTGCTCAAACAAATAGCACTCTCTCACTAAGTATCCAACAAGTCTGTCAGAGTTTATGGTGGTTTTGCAATGAAGGAAATTTCTATCAGTTTATAGAATACTTCACAATGTCCTAATTATTATCCAATCATTCAGCAGATAACTTCTTTGATTTCAGCAGTTTGAAAAGTTTACAGGAAAGTTTACACTGTCCTCGTTATTTACATTAATTTTGCAGATAAGTTGATCTTATGTAGCATTCACATATATAAGATTTAATTTTTTGAGAGTCATTAACAGTCATTTAAAATCACATTGAGCTCAAGCTAATAGCACATTGTCACAAGTTCCCACAAGTTCTGAATTAAAGAATTTACCGAGGTTTGACAGTAAGACATTTCTTCTTTTAGTTTATAGAAACATTTACAATTTCACCCCGAGTTTACGTTTATTCGGCAGATAGCTAATCAAGGTCTACGTACACACTACCCTCCACAGACCCCACTTGTGGGAACTCACTGGGTTTGCTGTTGTTGTTGCTGCTCATTATATTACATTCATTCTGCAAATTAACTTACTTGATCTGATCTTACATTGCAGTCAGCTAATATGACCTGAATTATTTATCATTAGAAGTGATTTTGCAATTACAACGCGCTAAAGCTAATATATCTGTGTTACTATGTACCCGCCAATTCTGTTCTAACAGTTTATGATGGTTTGGTAGTTAGGAAATTTCTTCTTCGACACAAAGTCAACAATTTCCTTATTTACATACATTCTGAAGATAATTTATTTTTATTTCTCAAAATAGGTGTTGGACTTGGACCCCATATGCACCCATTAATAGCAGTAAAAATATAACTAACCACTAGGCCTGAATATAGAGATGCACAAGAGTGGAACACCCAGAAACATGAAGACAAATGCAAGGCAGGATATAGATTTTATAGTAAAATCAGCTCACTTCCTTTGGTGCTTTTGGCAGGTGAAAATGACACATGCAATGCATGTTAGAGGCTTAATATCCGAATTAGACCTTCGTGCTTTGTGGTTGGTAGATTGAGTTGGGGTTCATTCTTAAACAAGAAAAGAAATTCTAATCAAAATGGGAGCTTTTTCTTATCCCCTCCCCCCAGGGAGCTCACTTTTCACTAGTTTAGTTGTTGATTACATGATTGTTGCAGGTGCAATTTAAGGGGATGTAGAGACTGGTAAAAGTTAACTTGGTGTATTAACCCATAAAATCATCTATAATGGATTTGATGTCTGCATCAGCAAGTTAAGTGACAAGAGGGTCCATGCCAAAGTTCACAAGCTCAAGTCTATCTCTATTGTCCTAGCTCTGCCAGATGAGGATAGTGATCCACTTCATTCATTTCATTTTCCTGATAAGTCACTTCACTGGTTTCACTTTTGAGTTTTTTCCTCTTTTGCTTTGTCCTTGTGGATGTTCTGCCAATGTCAAAGTGACAAAAATGGGATTGGCTGGAGATCAGAAGTTCTTTTTATATGGTACTTGCTGGGACGTATGCAGAGGTATATAGTCGGGATAATTGCACCCTTGTTATATTTGCATGAAGGAAGGGAGTGAGGGAAAGAAATACAGAGAGAAAGACAAAGAAAGAAGTCCTTTCACTGCTCAAAGAAAACAACTTAGAAACAAACAATTCTCGGAACAGATTCAACTTGAAAGAGCTTTCCTATTTGACCTCAGGGGATGCAACTTTCAGTTTCCTCTGCTTTTCCATGAGAAGATAGAATTCCCTATCAACGAACAATGACTAATAGCCTGTTTGGCCAAGCTTCTAAAATCAGCTTATTTTGAGAAGTGCTTTTCTCAAAAGTACTTTTTAAAAAAGTGCTTTTGGTGAGAAGCAGTTTGTGTTTGGCTAATTAATTTGAAAAGCACTTTTGAGCAGTAATTAGTGTTTGGCCAAGCTTTTGAAAACTGCTTCTAAGTGTATTTTTCTCAAAAGTGCTTCTCAGAAAAGTGCTTTTGGAGAGAAACTACTTTTTTCTACTTCTCAAAAACTGCTTTTGCTTCTCCTCAAAAGCACTTTTTTTCCTTCCAAAAGCTTGGCCAAACACCTCAATTTTTGGCCAAAAGTGCTTTTGGAGAGAAACTACTTTTTTCTACTTCTCAAAAACTGCTTTTGCTTCTCCTCAAAAGCACTTTTTTTCCTTCCAAAAGCTTGGCCAAACACCTCAATTTTTGGCCAAAAGTGCTTTTGGCTAAGCTTGGCCAAACAGGCTATAAGCCTTCCAACTGTAGTTTTCTCTTTCTCCTCAATACTAGTTCAGTATAATTGTTTCAGCTCGATTGCTATCTAAAGACACTAAGCCACTAAGGCGCCCTTTGTGTTTTATTAAGATTGAGATTTCTGAAACACCTAACGGCGTGACCTGGTAGTCAATGAAGTGGATGAAAACCTTAGAGGACCAGGGCTCAAATCCCAGCGTCGACAAAAAAAAACACTAGGTGATCCACGGGAAATGACTTGACACACAAAATCATACTATTGGATCCTTTTGTCATGAGTTACCAAGGATCCGTACATATGATTATAGGTCTAAAATGATGATCTACTGTGTGGAAATTATAGTGCCCAAGAATGAACAATAAGAGAGACAGAAGTAAAACATCGAAAAGAATTAGAAATTGTATCCGTGCCCACTACAGCTAGACTACACTATAGAGATAAAAGAAAAGAGAGACAAGTGGGTGGCAACAATATTTGACAAGGAATACTGACTGAAGTAGTGGTACAACAATGACAAACATGATAAGACCATGAAATGAGAAGATATAACAAACTATAACATTTATTTTTGTTCCAATCCAAAAGCATGAGTTCTCTGCAAAGAAGGGAACATGACGCAAATATAAAACGTCTCGTACCAGCAAGATTTTCAGCAGCGAATCTTAGGCAAACTGCTTTGAGCTCAGTGGCATGGTAACGGTCCGCTAAAGCAAGAATTTGTGCAACAGAGTTGACAGAGATATCTTTGCAGAGATGAGACTCACACAACCTCCTGAGTCGTGTTAAATTATAGCGATCAGCTGCTGATAGCAATTTTGCTGTCACAGTATCAGATATGCAGGGGGTAGAAGAAGAAGTACTAGTTGCTTCTAGCTCTTCTTCTACAAGAGCATCTTTGTATACAAAGTGCAGCATAACCTTGCACGAGAAGAAATAGAAAATTCCAAAGAACAGCGAGTTAGAGCTCCATTTATAGTTAGAAAGAGTTCAATCTATTTTGCCAAAAGCAAATGTTGTGTTGAAGAAGCAATTACAGTAAGAGAGACGTAGAATTATGATAATGATATAAAAAACAGATATACATTGAGAAAAGAAGAAATAAATTTTATAAGACGAAAATAGCCATAATATGATAAAAGCAAATGCTCACTTTGAAGACCTCGGGTTCCATATCAGTAACCACAATTTCCTGCTCATCAACATCCTGTCCATCAAAGTATTCAGTGCGGAATACAGGAGAACGAGCAGCCAATACCAACTTATGAGCATGAAACTTTTCACCAGCCACATTGAAAATAATATCAGAGCCTTCCATATTTTCCAAAAGCATGCCAAAATGTGCTCCAATGTCAGGGTCTGAGACCTGAATTGTATGCAAGCTCGAACAGTCTATTGTAGAGCGCACAACTCCCACAGTGCAATTAATCTTCAAGCAGTCGTCCTTCAGATAATCTGAAGTCTCGAGCATTCCTCGTCTAAAAAACCGTTTGTATCCCCTATATATCAGCCAGATAACAACTTCAGAGAAAGTCTTGAGTTGAAGTATAAAAAATTAAAGAGGAGAAAAGTTTGCTCAAGTAGTTATTCAAGATGCTATAAACAGGATTCTTCTATTTTTCTTTTTCTTCAAGTTCCTGCTACAATGGAAGATACCTCAAATACTTTTCACTCAAATAGATACCTCAGCATGCAACAATATTTCTTGATGATAAAGGCCCGAGTCAATTGAGAGCATTTTGATTCCTAGCCTAAAAGGGAAGCACTTCTGTTTGCAACTAGCAATAGGGGGAAATGGTCTGAGAAAGGAGTCCCGTACAAAGGGTTTAAGAGAAGTTTATTACCTTATTTTAGGCAGGTTAGCGCGTATTTATTTGGGTGGAGGCAGATGACCGATTACGCTAATTGGATAGGTTTAGCAGTAGAACCTTAGGTTTGGTCCATAAAGGACAAGTACTACTAGCAGCACAGATATGGCATCTTCCACTCTCTTTGTTTGAGTTACAAGGGTCACACCAAGGACGGAAATGAGACAATCACCACTTGGGGTAAGAGGAATAGCAAGGAGAAAAAGGCAATTTGGAGGACCGCATCATTACGTATTTTTATGATTGGATTCATGATACTGATTCTGATTCTGACCATATATGAAAAGCAACAATAATTGACTTAACACAAAAATGATTTCAATGTGGGGTCTATCTCTACCGACTCAACAACTAGCTTTTGGGGTGTTATTAAGGTTCTAACAAAATTATGATGACTTGATCTTATTATAAGAACAACCACAGTAGCATTCAGTTAATCAATTCTTTAATGCCCAGCCCAAAAAAATTTACTTTTCTTGGAAAGGAACGACTGCAGCATTGTGCTAGCTATCTTGGTGATCAACTTCAACCAAATCTAACTATTCTTGTTTGCTTGAGTATCAAATTGGAACTCAAAGATATTTTGAACATTTAACATGTATTTTATTTAATTCCTCATTTGCAATATCTTTGGAAGTAGTTTGGATAGAGTTTAAGTTGTAAGCACCGATGGTGTAAAGAAAATACTTTCACACAACCAAGTCATTTGAAATGCATTTGCACCCAAGGATGTGGCCTAGTGGTCAATGAAGTGGGTGAGAACCATAAGGTCTCGGGTTCAAATCCTAGCGGAGGCAAAAAATACTAAGTGATTTCTTCTCATTTATTCAAGCCTTGGTGGATAGAATTACCTAGTACATATTGCTGGAGGAAGGTGGCATGTATTCCGTGGAATTAGTCGAGTAGCCTATACACCATAGTTATAAAAAAAAAAAGGTCATTTAAAATGCAAGTAACTCTATTTAATAGCATTACACTTGTCTGTGTATATAACTTAAATCAATTTGAATAAGGCAACACTATGTTCAAGAAATTGGCTAAATTACAAGAAGCAACACATTACCACATGCTGCCACGGTACTTCAAGGTGTAAGGCCCGCTCTCAAGAGACCTATCGAAGTGACTATGAACCTTATGCTTTCCTTTACCACTCTGATCGACCAGAGTCAACTCAAACAAAGCCCTAACATCCGTTCCTTCACTAGCCAAAGCAATAAACACCGAAACATACGCCGAATTATCCTCGGGGTTCTTCCCGTCCGGATAAAAGTAAATCGCCCACTGGTGACCGCCGACGGTGAAAGTATCACTGGCGATGTGTTTCCCGACTCCCATCCCTTTAGCTAAAGAATAACCTTGGATCACGAACCGGTGCGAGCCGTTAATTGTATCGGTCACGGATTTCGAGCTCGTCGGCGGTGATAATTCGCCGACGGTGTTCTTATCGGAAACGTGAGTGATCGTCGGCGGCTCCGACATTTCGAATTCCCCTATTTTCCTGATGCTATAGTTGCAGACAGGGGACTTGGACGGAATTTATTCAAAAGAAATGGTGATAAAAAGGAAAGAATGAATTTTGTTAGGGTTTTTCTTTTTTGAGCTTACGCACAATTGAGAAGGAGACAAGAGTCGTAAACTTCAAATTATTATCTTTTTTGGGGAGAAATCTTTGAACAAATGGAGATTGGAGTACTTAGATTTTCCTGCCTTCTATTTATAGAAAGATTTTTCTTTTTAGAAACCTGTTATCTGTTGATGGAAATGACTCGCTTTGAGTTCTAGTTCAGATTTCAGACTCTTTGTTTGCAAGGTTTTAAAAATGATATTTTTGGAGTTCACTGTTTTATCTTATTTTTTGGTAAAGGATTTGTTGAGCTAAATTACCTTCATGGCTGGGCTGCTGAAATGTAGTATATGTGATTTACATTATGCCAAAAAAATGGCTGTAAATAAATTTTGCAGGAACAGATAATTTTAAGTATTTTATAGATATATTTCTGGTACTAGACATTTTTTATCATGCAGTGGTTTAGCTAACCATAAATTTAAAAGAAGAGTAATACTTCTTATTTGTTCAAAGGGCGCCTCAATAAAAATGGTGGCCTAAAGTCAAATTGTATTAAGAGGTCTTTTAAATTTATTTCACAAAATTCATATAATAGTGAGACACAAAAGAGCATCCAAATCAATGCATCAATCAAACATTAGAAAGTAGCTAAATCAAAGAACCTGAATTGAAATTGGAAAGTGAAAAGGAGAAAAAATTAGAAATGAAGAGGGAGATAAATATACTATAACTAACGAGACAAAAATTTACCATTGTTCACTCATCTATACATTCTTAGCCAAATAAAAAATATTAAAATTTGGACTCTTAAAAATAATTGCATAATATATATAATAATATGGAAAAAACCAAAAATAGCCAAATTTACATCTGGCAATTGAAAAATAGCCACATTTTCAAAAGTAATCGAAATTTAGCTACTTTTTCATGTAAAGCTAAAATCTGAATAAAAATACCCTTAAAAATTCGGAAATATTCCAGCATAATATGATGGAGTTCGAATTTTCTTACATATAAGCTTTCAGCATAATGTGTTGGAGTTCGAACATAATATGCTAGAAGTTTATATGTAGGAGCTCCATAATCCGGCATATTATGCTGAAACTTTTTGTGTTTCAGCAAAATAGTGTCTATTTTTCAATGACTTTGTAAATGTTAGATATTTTTCAATTATCAATCCGAAAACTGGCTAATCCGTGCTATTTTTACTAATAACATAATATAATATTTTTGAGGCCCTCTAGAATTTGGGCCTAAGGCAATGGCTTGAGCAGCCTTACCCTCCAGCCTGCCCAGAATTTTGCTTATTATTGTCCATTCCAAAATTTCAAATGAAGTAATGCTTGTGTATGTGTACATTGTGTGGTGGCTCAAGAATGAATTTTCATCACATTGTCCTGGTCCATCAAATAGCTTTTTTTTGTAAGAATAAATTCAGATAGTCGTCCACCCAATCGCTTAAACTAAAAATAGGCGACAGACATTGACTAATTTGTCAGTTAGAAGAATGACAAAAAAAAAAATGACCCTTTTGCGCCAATATTAGTTTTTGGACCCCGATAACATAAGTGTTTCAAAAATAGCCCGCACCGAATTTTAAAGCATGCTTACCAAAGAACTTCAGCAAGTTATATGATTATGACGATCACCAAAAAATTCAGCCAAAATGCTAAAAAATCTGATGATCGTAATGATTTTGTCACAAATCATGACCGATCATCTGAACTTTTAGCCACAATGTTGAAAAAATCTGGTGATTGTCATGATTTCACCCTAAATCATGACCGATCACTAGAATTTTGTTATCATTGTGGCTAAATTATTGACGATTGCCAAATATCGCTTTTCAAAATTCTGATGAACGTGCTTCAAAATTCAGGTTGGAGGCTATTTTCTCAAAACTTTTCTTAATGTGATTAAAATTTAAACGGTGGTCCTAAAAATATTCATCCAACATAATTTAGTTTGAGATCCTTCTTTGCACTCGGACCAAGCAATAGTTTGGAATGGGCTCAGTAAATGGGCCTTCTCTTCTTAGCTTTGGATTGGATGCCATGTGGCCGAATTCCCTCTGTGTATCTTGGACCCTCTTAGGCTTTGCTGATCGGCCCAGTTTCCTTTTTTATCCTTCTTTCTGTAGGTTTTTGCCTTTTGACTTTTCCTCTCCTCTTTTCTTTTGCGGCTATTCTTGTAAAATATATTAATGATGGAAGAAAATCATGATAAGAATGAAATAAACAAGACAAAAGAATGGTCACAATAATCAAATAATAGGGACAAATGACATATAGTTCTAGGAATATAATAATTAAAAAAATATTATGCTAGAAGTGAAACTAAATACAGCCAGTTAAAAATGAAGAGCTAAACTTCAAAATAAATAATAAAGGGAAATGATTGGATATGTGGGACAAAATTAGCATTTCAACAACTAGGTGTCGTTTTACTTATTATTATTATTTTTATTTTTTTTTATTTTGCTCTTGTGAAAGCGAATGATGAGAGAGACGACACCATTTGACTTTATGTGTTGGGGAAATCATATAGTAAAAGAAATTGATAAGATATTAAAAAAGTGAGAAAAACAAAGCTATGCATTAGTTGTTTTCTTATTTTCGTTGTATTTGGTGTGGACTGTTGTGTCACATGAAAACAGTACCCTATCCCCATAGGCATAAATCCCAAGCAAATCACGTGAAACCTTATTATACTGTCACGTGCTTTCTCTTTTTGGGGTTACAATTATTATTTTGAGCCAATCAATTTAGATTAGCACTGCATAAGACTATTAAAGAAAAATTAAATCTCTAGTTCCATTACAATCTTTAGTGATTGTTACGTGCTTCCTAATCATGCAAAGTTACACTTTTGTGGTTGGTAAATTTTGAAAGAGTAAATATTTTTAAGAAACAACAATAATAATAATAATAATAATAATAATAATAATAATAATAATAATAATAATAATAATAATAATAATATACTTAGTGTGATTTCATAAGTGATGTCTCAGAAGGATAGTGCGTATGCAGTCTTTATCTCTACTTTATAAAAACAGCTTGGTGCACTAAGCTCCCACTATGCACGGGATTCGGAAAAAGACCAGATCACAGGGATTTATTGTACACAACCTTATTCTACATTTTTGCAAGAGACTGTTTCCACGGCTCGAATCTGTGACCTCCTGGTCACATGATATCAATTTTACCACTTACGCCAAGGCAGGTCATCGTAACAAAGTAGATCAAATAAAATGTTTATTTCTTTTTTATAAAAAGAGTCTTAAGTAAATAAGTCCATAAACGTTGAAATTTTGGATCTTTTACTGAAACATAGAAATGAAACTTCCTCTACTTTTATATCGTGGAAGAATTAATAAATAAGAAAATAAAACAAAATAATTTAAGAATATTATAGAAAATCGCATATAATAAAGCGTGGTAAATTGTCTCGTGTAAAAAAATGTACTAGTTACCAATCTCAAGATATAGCTGATTGCGTCCTCTCGAGCTTTTATACATGTTCCACTACTTTTTCTATTCAAAGTCACTACATAAAAACATATAAGACTAATCAAGTCTATCAATTTTATTCACCAAAGTCATATAACTTTATTTTTTCACACAAAAAATCATATAATTATGGCCTTTTTTTCATCAAAGTCACATAACTATATTTTCTAACACAAAAATCATAGTGATCGAAAAATACAATTTTTTAGTAGTATTTTCTTATTTTGTGGTTTTTTATTTTTTATTTTCAGTCTGATAAATAATAGTCCAATTAAAATAGGAATGATTCAACTCGATCTAGCCCACTTGGCTCAATACTATATATATA